TTTGAAAGTAACAAATCAATCATTTACTTTTTTTAAGAGACTGATGCAGTTAACCTAAACATTTTATTTGTGTATTTAATATTTTTATGGTCTACAGCAATAGAGGAAGTCCAGGTGCTGTGCCTTGACAGATGTGCCCTTTACCATCAGATAACGATTCTAAAATTATTTTCCTTGGAGTCAATCCACTTTATTTTCCCCATCCTTTTGAAATAAAATGATATTGCATATTCCTAACTCATCAAAATCATTTTGCTTTTTTACATGTTAATTAAAACATTATTTATTATGTTTATTAATATATTTTAATTGTGGGAAATTTTGGCTGGTCCCTGCAATGCAACCAATTCAGTTTTGCTGTACTTGTGTGGATATTTGGTGCCCACAGGCTAAACCTGTACACACACAAATATGTTTACTTAGCTATCTAAAGGGGACATTCCATTGTCTTTATATGATGTAGGTGGAGGTTTTGCTCAATTGTGGGTACAGATTTGTCCCCAAAATATTTTTAAGTAGGTACACACACACGCACTCACACACTCTCTCTAACACACACACACACACACACACACACACACACAAACATAGAGTTTTCCCCCTTTCTAAGAATCAGTTGGGGGCACTCAATTGTGGGTACAGATTTGTCCCCAAAATATTTTTAAGTAGGTACACACACACGCACTCACACACTCTCTCTAACACACACACACACACACACACACACACACAAACATAGAGTTTTCCCACTTTCTAAGAATCAGTTGGGGGCAGGGTACTCAGTTTGGGCATTCAGATTAGCTGGTAATGTCTCCACAGCTCTGGTCATAACCCTTCCAAACACATTAACAAGACTATGAGAACTCCAGGAATTCTTAATTTATACTGTATATACTAGGGTGACCATACGTGCCATTTTCCCAGGACGCGTCCTGGCCAGGATTTGTTTTGGCTTTGTTTTCCTGTTTTCATGCTTGCTGAAGGTAAAGATCGAAAAGTAGTTTGACCAATAACATGCAAGCATTGTACATAATGGACCAATCATGGCGTGTGAGAAGGTGGGATCTACGGTCAAAGCGATGCAATTACGCATACATATTAGGTGTGTTCGACTTAAAAGCAGTGCGGCTCAGACCGATCAGTGTTTGACATCAAAGTACCTCGAGAGCGTTTCGAAAGCATAACCGTCTGTATGGTACTTTGATGTCATACACCGATCGGTCTGCATACGCAAACAAAGCCAAAACCTAGATATTTTAGGCAATATAGAAATCCTGGCCAGGACGCGTCCTGGAAAAATGGCACGTATGGTCACCCTAGTATATACGTATATATATATATCAGTTTTGAGAGTTACTTTTAGTGTCACCGGTATCATGTATGACTCCGTTTTGTGGTCCAATGCTTGTGTGACACCCTGAATGTATGAATAAATTTCCTACTCTAGAATGTATACTGTAGAATGTTTAGAAGGTATACTTGAAACTTCCAGGTAGGTGTGTTGAGGCAAGTTGGAGCTAAACTCTGCAGGACACTGGCCCTCCAGGACCGAGTTTGGTGACCCCTGCCCTATCTGGTAAGGAAGAACTGGTGGGGCATAAGAACAGGTCATATAAACTGGTCCTGACACCCCATGGGGATAATATGGCCGTCTCTGAACCGGCATCACCTGTACAGTACTTATTTCAGTAGGTGGTTCATAACTGTGTTGACCCTAGGAAGAATAGGTCAAGACCCTTGGAGGAATCCTTTCTCTGTTAGATCTCCTCACAATTCCACTTTCTACACTCCCTTCCCTCTGACTAATCATCTGTCTTTTTCTCTTCACAGGAACTATCTCTTCCAGCTCCCCATCCATTCCTTCTAGTTCCAGCACAGCAGGAAAGTCAGCAGATGACTGGGGTTCCGTGGACACAGGTAAGCATCCTCTTGATGTTTGGGATTCAACAGACACAGGTAAATATTCTCTCTGCGGTTGGGATTCAGCGGATACAGGTGTAAAGTCCACCCAACTGGCCCAACGATGTAATCCAATGGCGTGGGTGAAGGTATAATGCGTGCAGGTCTTTTACTTGCACTTTTGCAGAGTTCACTTAATTTATCAGGGTTTATTTTCAATTTTAGTCTAGCTCTGTGTTTAATCTGACTCCAATTTCAAGTGATCATTAAATAGGGTGACCACACATGCCATTTTTCCAGGACACGTCCTGGCCAGGATTTCTATATTGCCTAAAATATCCACGTTTTGGATATTACCCTGTTTTATTATTATTATTATTATTATTATTTTATATTTATGCCTTCTCAATGTACCAAAGTGATCATTTCCGATTTTGTCATTCGATAATAAATCATAAATCGGTTATTCTTGACTGGCAGCGCTGCGCTATATGAATCAGCTCACGTCTGTTCCGCGCTTCCGTCAAACGGTTCCGAACAGAACCGATGCGCGGGACTCGATGGAAGAGAGAAAGCGGCCAGAAGAAGCAGTGAAATGTAGCTACATCACTGACCTGTTCAGGGCTTCAAGTGCAGGTCAGTTTCATCTGTAAATACACTAGTTTTGTCTTTATTAACCTCTTAACCTAGTTGAGTAATAAGCTGTTAGTATCTGTTAGGCTATCAGTAGCACCCCATTATTATCAACATTCAGAATACTGTGCTAAAGGACATCAATATCGATTGTAAAGTTACATTAAAAAATTTAGCAGAGACAGATATTCACATTTATTGTACAGGGAGGGAGGGAGCTTGAGCAGACAGCAACACAAAAATAATATGAGTCATAGCCTAATAATTCAATAGTGTGTTCAGTATTATAATTTTTCAACAAATATATTGTACTAATTTTGACATTTAGGCACTTTAGAAAATGTGTTTTAATACATTACCAGTCAAAAGGTTTTAATCAGTAAGATTTTTAATGTTTTTTTAAAGGGGTGGTTCAGTGGTTTTTTTCTAGGCTTGACTGTGTTTATGGGGTGCAGTCTAACATGTGTTTAATAATTTACCTTTATTCCACACAGCTCTGTCCCTTCTCTGAGAAAGGTGCTGATCATTTCCTTCTTTTATGAAGCCCCTCCCTCAGAAATAGGCAATGGGCTCTGATTGGTTAGCTAGCCCAGTGTGTTGTGATTGGTTAGCTAGCCCAGTGTGTTGTGATTGGTTAGCTAGCCCAGTGTGTTTCCATGTTTAACGCTTCTCATAGTTATGTGAAAATAAGTGTATAATTGTAACAGTTCATTGCTGGAGCTGAGCTGAATGAGAGAGAGAGAGAGAGAGAGATGCAGAGCAGGGGGACTCTTCTCTAAAGCAGCATAGCATGGCCTGCATGGGGTTTATCTGGGTTACCCGGGAAGTAACTTGTTGTAGTCCCTAGCAGCCGTTTTTGTAGGCATTAAACTGCAAGAATTTTAAAAGACGATATCTACGGTGGCCGAGAAGTGCAAAGCAAATCACAATTCTGAAAACAAAATAACAAACATGTGCTTATCCATCTGCACCACTGGAGCTGATGGTTAACAGTCACTTTTAACTAAATGTAAATAGACACCCCGTATTTTTTATTCCAGAGTAAGGGGATTTAGTCGCATATGCCAGTGATTTACTCGCAATGTAGAGGGTTGTTTAAAGAAGTCTCTTCAGCTCACCAAGCCTGCATTTTAAGATAACATTCTGTGCTAACAAATTGAAAAGAGGTGGTTGTTTTCAACAAGGTGGACACAGTTCTGTTCATAACAGTAGACCTGCTGGTGAAGAAGTGACAGGTAAGAAAAAAAGCGGGGGACAGATATATTGGGGAAAATGAAGAAAAGGGAAAGGGAAGTGAAGGTGCAGTGCAAGAGAGAACCTTTAATTATTTTCCATGGCCCCAGCCTAAGGATTTAGACCTTTTTATGTGATAGCCATACAAATAATAGTGTGGTTATAATAGTTAATAGTCTGTGCTGTGGTTTCAGAAATTGTTGTGGATGTATAGGCTATATACAGGAAATAAGGGGCCAAAATTGCACCTTTTGGGGTACAACAGCTTGACACTGGAGCTGTACTCTTAAAATGACATCTTTATTCATTTTTTACCCCGAATAGGTAAGCCTACATATTAGTATCTTAAGGGTATGAATTACTACTCTAAGGTACTAATATGTACCTATTAGGGGTAAAAAAGGTACAAAGTCCTTTTAAGAGTACTGCTCCAGTGACAAGCTGTTGTACCCCAAAAGGTACAATTTTGGCCCCTTTTTTTCTGTGTGGCCTGGATGAGTGTAAGATTTCCCGGCCTGAAATTGCATCCCAGTCCGGCCCTGGAACCATGCACCGTCCACCCCTACTGTCCACTCAGGATATTTTATGTCATAAGTCCAGCATTAGTGTAACAATCATAAAGAAAATCATCAACAAAGAGGGACAGATATATAACATTAATATAATCAAATGATCCGATGGTAGCTGTTCTCATTGCAGCCTGTCTGACAGACATTTCTGGCTGGATGAAGGACCATCACCTTCAACTCAACCTTGCTAAGACAGAACTGCTTGTGTTCTCAGTAGGGATGCACCGATACCATTTTTTAAAGACCGAGTACGAGTACCGATATTTTTTTCCTGGTATTCGCCGATACCGATACCTGTTTTTTGGGATGTGGCAGTTTTCCAAGTAATGACACAGTGAGACTAATAATTTTAGGACAGCTTCTCTGTAATTATGAACAACTGTAACTCAAAAAAAAATTTTTCTGCTTGTCACAAGGTTGTCAAAGTACAAACCATTTTCACAGTATCTAATAATTTCCATAACCAAACCAAGGGCATAATAAAATAATATTATTATTAATAATAATAAAATAAAATAAAACATTTCTTTATCAACCTGTCACAAAGCTGCAAACTTATTTCACTGAACAGATGTTTATAACATAACACTGTGTAGCAATGTTCACTGTTGTGTAACAATCAAAAGTGTACAGTGAAATATAACAGTGAACTGTCTAATCATTGTGAGCAACACAATAATTGTAAGTGTAAGTGTTCATAAGCCATTAGCTAAGGATGTTCCTCAGAGCATTTGTACAGTATGTTTTTACTTTTGCAATAATTTTTGGGCCGTCAATCAGTTTGCATTATTTTTCAAAAGTAAGTGGCAGGTTTTTTTTAAGGAACAGAAGCATCTCTGCATGTTCAGCTACAAGCCTGCTTCTGTTGTCAGTCAGAATGTGTGACACTGAGCTGAAGAGTCTTTCACTTTCCACACTGCTGCATGGGGCTGAAAGATATTTTTGTGCCATTTGAGCCAGAGCAGGAAATCGCAGATTATTAACTGCCCAGTACATGAAGGGTTTCTCTGAACGACGCACAGTGGTCTCTCCAAGGTATGCTTCCAGCTGTATGGTGATGGCTGCTGGAGCTCTGCTCTCAGATGCAGATGCACATCCATCTGCAATTTCTTCAAAAACACTGTCCAGACTGCTACCTGGCTTGTCGCAGTGAGACCTTTTGTCAGCTGGTGCGCCATATGTGTCTCAGGTGTGGCTGTCTCTCCCACAGACATTTTTTGCAGCTCCAGTATCAACATTTCTTTGGCCTGACTGGCAGTGTCTGTGTTGGAGAAGAATTGATCTTTATACCTTAAACAAAAAACAATGATGACATTAGCATTTGTTCCGTGCAATTAAAAAAATATAAGAAGAAATTTAAATTACTCTTGCATTTTTTTTTTTATTGAATCTTATCACCTCAACATCTTTTACATTTTATTATTATGAGCAAATTAAAGCTTATCTATTATAACTTAATTTATAATCATAATTTTGTAAATTTATAGCAAAATTAATTAATGAATTTAAAATTGAGCACAAAAATATTAATTACCTCGGATCAAGTAAACTTGCAATGCAGTAAAGTGGGTTTTGCTCCATGTTGGAAAAGCGCCTCTGCAAAGCATCAAGCAAAGTGCTCTTCATTGTTTTGATTCCGTGGTCCTCATTCATTTGTTTCAGCAACAGTCTCTGTAGCACAGTGACAGCAGGAATTACATCTGAGGCTAAAGCATCTGAAGAACTCACTTGACGAGTCATTTCTTCAAAGGGAGCCAAGACATTTACAATCTTCTCCAGAAGATTCCACTGGTTTGAAGTTAGAGTGGCAGGGAGCTCGTTTTCAGACACATATACTCCAATCGCCCATTTTGCTCAATCAGAGACTGCACCATGTAGAATGTGCTATTCCAACGAGTCTGCACGTCTTGCTGAAGTCTTTTTATTGGTTGACGTGCTATTCCAACAAGTCTGCACGTCTTGCTGAAGTTTTTATTGGTTGACCGAGCTGTGTCTGAATATCCTGTAACCGAGAGTATGCCAGGTGGGAGTGTTTAAAGTGGCAGACTATTTTGCGCCCCACTCCCACACTCCGTCTCGCTGCGCTGTGACAGCAGACCCTCTGTGACGGCCAGCTGTAAAGTACGTGCCACACACGGAAGACTAGAAACTCCGGCCTCCTCCATGCCCTTTACCATGTTTTTGGCATTGTCACGGACCACAACATGGACAGAACTTTTGGGTATTGCCCAAGTCGCAAGCATTTCCTCACGAAGAAAGCCCACATCACACCTCAGTTCATCAGTTTGCACTGGCTGCCAATAGCTGCTCATTTAAAAAAATGTCTAAAGACACATCTTTTTGGTCAGCACCTGACCAATTAATACTAGCACTTATCTATTCTATTCTATTCTATTCGTTTTTTCAAATTTATAAAAAAAAACTTTGCTGTGTGTACTGTGCTAGACTAACTGAGGCTTGTCACATCACTTGAACACTGTTGCTCTCTTGTTGGTCTGATTGCTTCTATTGTTCTCCTCATTTGTAAGTCGCTTTGGATAAAAGTGTCTGCTAAATGATTAAATTAAATTTAAATGTAAATGCATGGAATAAACATACATATACATATATAAACATATGTGACCAAACATTCAGAGTATCACACCTGGAAGGTGATTTTTAAAGGATCAAAATGACAGTGTTTTATTATTTGCACTTTTGTGCTAAATATCTTTTATCATGCAATGTAGGAACTATTTTCAAAGTGAATTTTTATCATTAACTGCATACATTCTATGAAGACCTCTGGACACCTTGTTACAGTGTCATTAATACAGTACATCTGCATCTCTGAAATCAGGGGCCTCATTTATAAAATACTGTGTAGAAAGCATCCTAAATTTGATTTTACGATAATTTCTCAAAGTGCGTACGTGTGATTCATAGAACGAACGTTTGCACAGAAAATGTGCGTACGCCTCTATTTTAGATGTGAAATCTATAAATTGCAATGATCTTGAAATTGTGCGCAGCTGAACAGTTTCAGATCTCCGCCTTGTAAATTATGTCTAATTAATGTCATTGACTTATAAAAGAGCACCTGACAATGTCCAAATCTTTTACAAGCGGCAAGAATGGCTTATATTTCCAAAACTCGGGCAAACAAAAGTGCGTACGTCTGCTCAGACCCTGACGTGGCGCTAAGCTCTTTTCCACGTCAAAGACCGTTTTTATAAATATGAACGTTGGCGTGGATTTTTGCGTACGCACACTCTACGATCAAATCTGTGTGTACGCACGTTTTATAAATGAGGCCCCAGATTTCTAGATTTCTACGTTTGTGGCATCAAGTATAGTACTATTTCATTTTGTAAGTAACCTCTAGGAAAACAAAAGGAGAATAAATAAAATAGTCATTTAAGCTTTTAATGTCATTTTCAGTCATATTTGAAACATTATGTGTTTCAGGAAAGACTGATATTGTATTCATTACAGATCTGTGTTAAACATTTTGAACAGATTTTCAGTGCTCTAGAAACTTTATGAAGTTTCCGAGGGCCGCACATGGCTGAGGAAGTTGGAAGGTTTTACGTATTTGATGTTTTCACAGTTGCCAGTCAAGTTGCCATTTCATTGATTTAACTTCCTCCAAGGTCAAAGCTGCAAGACAATATATCTCTGTAAATTAGCTGATTTCACATAATTCTGTGAATTTTGTCATCACAACAGTGAGCACTGGAGTTGTCTAACATAGAAGTTTTGAATGTATGGTCTCTGTTGTCCCACCTGATGCTTACCTCATAGGCAGAGACTCAATATAATCCAACACGCCTCTCTGCTTTAAAGTTGCTACCAGCATAACCACTGTCTTAAATGGTCAGCAGTTGTGCTATTTTAGGGAATGCTAATTTGGCAGCTGGATCAGAGGCAGGATGTGGGCTTTTTTTGCCATTTGAGGTTGGTCATTTTTGACATACATATTTTATAAACAGGTTAGGTGTGACAGAGGACACTGTCACGTACCACAATGTCACATAACTACCATTACAAGTCATGTAATTTTACATTCTACAAATTCCCCTGTTTGTACCTTTTTGTTTCATACGCATGCTCATAGGCATTCCATTATTCTGTGCATTCTCCTGATACCCGTTTTATACTAGAGTAAACACACGTATTCCAATGCATCTTGTTAAAATTTTCTTTATTTGTATTGTTATAGTACTTATCTGTTAGGGTTGTATTGCTTGTTGTAACACTGGCAGTTTGTTGTCCTCCATCTTCCTAGTATACAGCGCTACAGACCAAAACCCGAAGTGATGTTATGGTATAACTTTATTCTGTTTCTTGGCATACTTCTGGATTGGAGAGGTTGGTGGATGATACCACTAAAATAAATGCTGCTTTGTTCTCTTCTATATATTTATTAAATGTTATTTTGGTTCATCAAAGGAAGGATGGCTAATGGTGATGAAATAAAAGTTTTGTAATTTTTTGTTGTTGTGACACAGTGAGTGGTACGTTCCAAACAGCAGGGCTTTCTGTATTTAGGCAGCCCAGAAGTGCCGCCTAGAGAGATGCAATGAGAGCCTAAAGGAAATCTTTTTCTGTGTCCTCTATAGGTGTTCTCTACTGGCCCAACAGACCCTGCATGAGACACAATGGGAGCGAAAGAAGAGGAGGAAAAGTGTCATGGAGGTTTTCTCCAAGAGCTCAGGGGACTGCAGGAGTCCATGAGTCCAGGAAAAGAAGGCATGTCATCTGGTGCCCTTGTTGGCCAGATGCTACACAGCAATGGACATGGGCGGCACTAGGGAGGGGCTAGCAGGTGCTTCAGCATCCCCAAGAAAGACCAAAGCACCCCCATAGCATCCCCACACATAAAACAATGGGAAAAAAAAAACATTTGACTCATTACGCATGCATAACTCGTGCAATGCAATATAACGTCACGTGATTTGCAGTCGAACTTTTTGTAATGTCATAGCATTTTATTTAAAAAATTGATCAGTTCCTTGTGCCAAGTAGTCCTGTCCTCGACTAAAGATTTTTTTAGTCAACTAGTCGCAAGTTTATATTAAATTGATTAATATAATAACCTACTAAACCATCTTTTAATATATAGTCGTATTATAGCCTATATATTCCGCGCTCAAGCGCGCACATAAAGCTTGCCGCAAAGCACCAGCAAAAGTCAAGTCAAGTCACCTTTATTTATATAGTGCGTTTAACAATACAGATTGTGTCAAAGCAACTGTACAGCATTAATTAGGAAAATATTGTGTCAATAATGCAAAATGACAATAGTAAACACTCAGTTTTCAGTTAAAGGCAGTTCATCATTGAATTCAGTGATGTCAACATCCAGCTCAGTTCAGCTTAAATAGTATCTTTGCAATCAAGTCAACGATATTGCTGGAAACCCATTATACTGACTCTCACACCACACAGACTGTTACACATCACCCTGGACTGCATTTCCCATCATCCATTGCACTGATTGCACACAGCTGTAACCAATCACACGCTCTCCTGAAAGCTATTACACACACTACATAACACCCACTCAGATCCTGCTCAAGTCGCTGAGTATTGTCTGCGTTTATCGCTCTCCAAGTGATAGCACTTTACGGAGCCATTTCCCTGTCTTAGTTTCTAGTTCTTAGTTTCTAGTCTCTGTTCCTAGTTCTAGTCTTAGTCTAGTCTCGTTGTGTTTCCTGATTTCCTGGTTTCTGATTCTTGCCCACGTGTCTTGGATTTACCTTTTGCCTTGCTGTTTCGGACTGTGTTTGCCCCTCGCCTGGATTATTGCTCACGTTTAGGGATTACCTCTCTTGTCAAGCCCTCTGGATAACATTCGCTGTCGTCTGACTCAAGCCCGTTTTGGATTGCTCTTTTGTCTTGCCTGTGCCATACCTGTTTGCTGCCATTCATGAGTCCAGTCAAGTTGCAGTTGATCTTCATGAATCAAGTTAAGTCACCGTTGATCTTCATGAATCATGTCAAGTCTCAGTTGATCTTCATGAATCAAGTCAAGTCACAGTTGATCGTCATGAGTCAAGTCAAGTCACAGTTGATCGTCATGAGTCAGGTCAAGTCACAGTTGATCGTCATGAGTCA